GGGCATGGGACGGGTGCGTGAGCGTCATCGTGTCGGCGCTCTGCACGTATTTCAGGCGCGCGAGATCGGCCGTCGTGTAGGGCGTGGCGAGCGTGTAGATCCGCGCCGCCGTGCCGCCCGAGGTCCAGGCGCCATAACCCGACGTGTCGACGCCCAGCGAAAAGGTCGTGCTGCTGAGCGCCGTGATAGCGAACTGGCGCCCGTTGACCTCCGCCATTCCACCGACGCCGGTCAGGAACACCGAGTCGCCCGTCGAATACCCATGCGCGCCGGACACGGTCACCACGGCCGGATTGCCCTGGGTCAGGCTGGTGATCGTGAAGCCGCCTTCGAGGACGTAGCCGCCCTCCTTGATCACGCGCATCTTCTGGTCGCCGAACTCCAGCACGTAGGTCTGCGTCGTGTTGAAGGCGAAGGGGACCAGGCGCGACCGGGCCATTGCGTTGACGCACTGACCGACGAACGACGTGCCCGCCCGCGTGCTGGCGCCGCCGAACGGATGGATGAACCAGTTCAGGCAGGTCCGCAGGCCCACCTGGTACTTGGCCAGGTCGATGCGGCCGTGCAGCGCCGGGGAGATTTCGCCGGCGGCGAAGCTGGGAAGGGCGATCGTCGTCGGCATCAGCGGTAGCCCCCCTCCAGCCAACCCGGCGAGCTGTCATCGAAGCCGCGCACGGCCTGCGATTCGGCCATAGGCAATCGGCTCTGCGCGCCCTGCTCGTTCGCGCCATCCGCCATGGCCTTCTCGAGGCGGGCGGCGGCGACCTGCTGAAGCTGCATGGCCACGTCGCGCTTCTGGGTGATCGGATAGGCGACGGCCGCCGCAAGACTGTCCGCGAGCGTCAGCACGAACGGCGCGCTGAACCGGTTGGGATCGGTCACGCGCTGCAGAAGCACCGCCTCGGCGACCGTCTCGTTGCAGTACAGGAACTGGTTGGTACCGTCCGAGGCGATCTCGAACGGGATGACGGGATCGGGCCAGGCCCAGCTCCAGCCACCGAAGTCGAGCCGCCTGACCTTCAGGCAGTCCGACGGGTAGGCGTAGCTGTAGGCCCAGCGCGACGGCGGCGTGCCCGACATCGACAGGGACCGCGTCACCCTGTTGAAGTTCCAGTCGATCATGCCCTGCAGATCGTCGCGCACCGTCTCGTACCAGATGCTGATCTGACGTGCCTCGGTGCTGTTCTCGGTGAGGTCGGCGATGGTGGCGCGCGTGCCGAGACGGCTCAGCGCCATGTTCGCGATTTCGGTATCGGCCGGCATCTCAGCGCCCTCCCCCGGCCACGGCCTTCTCCAGCGCCGCGCTCTTCTGCGCGGAGCCCGAGCTGGAGCCGACCCAGTAGGCGACGATGTCGCCGAACTTGGCGCCGAGCGTGCCCAGCAGGATGTAGGCAATCTCACGCGAGGCGAACGGGATCTCCTGGCGCACGACGAACCAGAGCGCCGCCATGAAGGCGGCCGTTACCAGCACGCTGACCACCACGGCACCCCAGGCAATCGCGGAGCCCGCCTTGGCGAGTTCCACCGTCTGGCTGCGTGCGCTCGCCACATCTGCAAGCCGGGCCTGCAACGTGTCGAACTCCTGGTGACGCGCATCGGCT